CTCTTCGGGGCGAGCTTACCCTTTCTTTCTTTGGCTCTGGCTTAGCCAACTCCTCCAACTTAGCGAACTTTGCTTCCGTTTCCTCCAAATTAATATACTTCTTACACCTTTTCAGCACATCGTCATACGTTCGAGCAGGGGTTTTGGCTAAAGATGTTCGACAAGGCCCTGCTCGCAAACTCCGTATCAACCCCCTAGCCTTCACTTCGTCCGAGGCCGTGGGGATCTCCAAACAAGTTTGATTGTATCGCGCGACATACTAGCGCAGTGATTCTTTCTCCCCTTGTCTCATGGCCATCAACGTCAAATACGTTTTCTCCTGCGCCACCGCACTCGCGTATTGGGTCATCAGCTTTTCGCGAAATCATCAAAGTCCTTGATCGATCCATGAGGTAGCTGCTGAAACCAATCGGGTGCACCTCCCCTCAAGGTCGACAACAATGCCTTGCAGCCAACAGAATCAGAATAACCATGTAACACAACCAAATTCTCAAACGCTCTTACATGCCTCGACGGGTCTGTGGTCCCATCGAACATCAAACTCATGTCTCTGAAATTTGCAGGTAATGGTGCAGCCAATATATCCCTCGAGAACGGATGTCCTCGAGCACGCCTTTCAGGTCGACCATCCATCTTAGCCTGCATCTGCCTCACCTGCTCCGCAAGCCTCTCTACCTCACGATCTCGCAAGGCTCCATCTCCTCCATAGCTAGACACGTCCTCATCCACCATCGTTGGTCCGGCAGCCACTCGCGAAAGGCTCTGAGTGACCTGCTAAACCGCTTGTGCCGCCGCGTTCGCCACCATCTGCTGCATCTCCTGCCTGGTCATCACCACCTGCTGGCCGGGACGCGGTTCCTCCATCGACGGCAGCATCGCTCCTTGCACCGTCGCTCCTTGCTGCAACGGCGCAGCCAGATCTGGTTGCGGCGGCGTTGGGATCGCCGCTCCTTGGGCTGTGCGGGTCTCTTGGGCCCGGCTTGAGCCCACATCGGCCCCTGGTTGCACCAGCGTGACCCCTACACCTTGGGGGACAGGCGTCGGAGTCACCGGTGTACGCGAGGGTCCAGAGAAGCCCGGAGGTGGGCCTTCTCCAAACGGCCTCGTCATCGTCCACGCATCATCGAACGATGCCTGCAAATCTCTCCTAGGAATTCCGTCCGCCATAGCCACCGAGCTTTGGAAATCTCAGCACACCACTTTTCGAACGAAAGTCCCCACAGACGGCGCCAAATGGTAACGCAAAACACTCCGACCGGCTTGAAATCGGTTTGCTTCCTTCTTCCTCGCTGATAGAACGCCGCGTTCCTGCACAAAACTCTCACACCGGAGGGGTTTGCCGGTGAAGAGCCTCCGATGCTTAAGTCAGTATATGTTTGTTCAATTTTCCAAAGTAAAGAATGGATAAATCGTAAACCCTAAGAAAAGACCCACTCCCTATATATAGGAGTGAGATACCTGCCCTTAGAGCTGCCCGGATATTGGTGAGCTGTTCTGCCCGCGCTGCCCGTCCGTACACATACAGTGTGTGTGTTGTCAGAAATGTCAGGGGTGTCAGAGGTAGTTGTTGCCACTATCACTCTGCACCAATACATTCTCGCCACGTGCCCCCCTCTGAGCTGAGGGGAATTATTCCCTTGCGCAGGCCGTTGGGATCTCCTGGCATCACCCACGCGCTTACTTGCGTTCAGGTCACGCTCTCGACTGCTTCCTTCCTGCTGCGTGCTCGATCTGATCGAGCTCCCCCTTACTAAGTCGATCCTCGACCAGCTCTGCTCTTCTGCTCGATCTCTTCTATTCTGGTCGATCATCCTTCAACCAACGTGGTTTTCTTCCTCCCTATGTTTGCCTGACCGACACGATGGACCGGTCTGCTCCTTAGTCGTATAATATCCCATATCAAAGTCAGAGTTAGAACAAGAATAAAAAAAGAAGAAAAACAAGTTTTTTTAAACCAAATAAATCTCGGTTCGGGAACGCCAAAAATCCTGAGGTGAAGGAAGCCAGAGCTAAGTACCTCAATGAAGTCAAGTCAAGCTATCAAACAGTATTCTCAGCTGGAGCCACTACTATATTTGAAGAACTAAAAGGAAAAGGGATTCTTCCCGATCCTAGACCAGTGAGGACTCCAGAAGATAAACTTGACAAGACGAAATATTGTTCATATCATAAGTCAGCAGGACACGATACCGACGAGTGTCTCGGTTTACTCTTTGCCTTGTTAAGGCTTGTCGGACATCCACAAGTCCAAAGATTTGCAAAAAATGTTGATTATAAACGAAAAGGCCGATTACCAGAATCCCCAGACGATGATGACGACGATGATCGCCCAATCAATCCGAAACGTATCAGACAGGGTGATAAAGAAGTTTTTATGTTTAACTCGGAGGAGAATGATCCTTCATCTTTGGCAAAAGCCGAAATATTAAAACGAAGTGGTTATTCTAATCTTTCCGATTTTCATAGTGTTCCACGAGTTAACAACAGTAGTGGCAACGTACCTGAATCACGTCGGCAAATGAAGGCGTATGCTCGACAAGCCTATAACTCGGGCAAAACCGTCCTAACTACCGACCTCTGAGATAAAATCAATGCCCGGAATAATTGCCCAATCACTTTTAACGTGAATGATGCAAGTTATTTCGCTCACCCACATTTTGATCCACTTGTAATCACAACACCGATATGTGGGATACCCGTGCACCGAATAATGGTTGATACAGGTGCATATTCGAGTATCTTAATGCTTCGCACATTCGAACAAATGGGAATCGATCCCGCCGAGTTAAAACCTTGTAAAGATCAAGTACAAGGTTTCAATGGAACAATAACACCGACTCTTGGTGAGATTACTATGCCAATTCGGTTTGGGATACCTGGGCAGGCTTCCAAAGTTATTATGGAGACATTCAAAGCGATGGATCTCAAGAACGAATATAACGCCATCGTGGGAAGAACAACTTTGTACAAACTTCGTGCAACTGTTTCGATCTTTCATTATGCCTTAAAATTTCCCATGAACAATGGAGAAGGGACTCACTATGGCGATCAATATGAAGCCCGTGGAATGGTATGGGTTAAGCCGTGGCATGAACCGTCTTCTCTGATACAAATGGCAGAAAATGTTCAGGAAGAACGAGAAAAACCATCGACTTCTAAGAACTCGGTACCCGATGTTACCGAGATGGAAGTGAAACCTCCCGCGATCTCGATAAACTCGAAAGGGAAACTTCAAGATGATTAACTCAAGATCGTGCAAGACGTCCTGGGAAAGAACCAATTAATGAAGAAGACGAACTCGATCCCCGGACCTAATTTAAAGATAAAAGAAAAGTCGACCGAGCCGAACCATCGGAAGAAATTGAAACAATCTTTATTGATGATCCTATCCGTGACAAGTCATTTCGGATTGGGGCCAATCTTCAAGAACCAATACGAACTCAACTTATCCAATTTCTTCGGACAAACCCAGATGTATTTGCTTGGAAACATGAAGATATGAAAGGTATTTACCCAATGTGGCTTCACACCGACTTAATTTGGATCCAACAATAAAGCTTGTTGTTCAAAAGAGACGCAAACTCGGTCCTGATCGCCAAAAGGCTCTTGAAGAAGAAGTCAAGACGCTAATTGATAACAAATTCATTCAAGAACCAAATACCCAACTTGGGTATCCAATCCTGTTCTGGTCAAAAAAAGTACTGGAGCGTGGCGACTTTGTATCGACTTTTTTGACCTAAATAAGGCTTGTCCAAAAGGCAGGTATCCACTGCCGCATATTGATTATATGGTGGACGCCACCTCCAGACATGAGTTGATGAGTTTCGTGGATGCATATTCGGGTTATAACCAAATCCCAATGGATCCCAAAGAAGCAGAACAAACATCTTTTTATTCCGCTCGAGGCTTATATAGCTATACAATGATGCCATTTGGTCTCAAGAACGCTGGGGCCACATATCAAAGATTGGTTAACAGAATGTTTGCTACGTTAATCGGGTATACCATGGAAGTCTATGTCGACGACATGTTAGTCAAGTCAGTTCATGCCGATGATCATGTCGCTCATTTACAAGAGATGTTTAATATTCTCAGAGACTATTCCATGGTGTTAAATCCAAAGAAGTGCACTTTCGGAGTCGGTTCTGGTAAATTCTTGGGATATATCGTAACACAACGAGGTATCTAAGCTAATCCCCTGAAGATAAAAGCCATTCTGGACTTAACACCTCCCACGTCGGTTAAAGGTGTTCAAGCTCTAACAGGCCGACTCGCCGTCTTGAGTAGATTCATATCAAAATCTACTGATCGTTGCAAACCTTTCTTTGAATCCACAAAGAAAGGAAAGCGCTTTGAATGGACCAAGGAATGTCAACAAGCTTTGGTCAAGATTAAAGAAAAATTAGTGCAATCACCGACTTTGCAAAAGCCGGTACCTGAAGAAATGTTGTATCTGTACTTGGGAGTAAGTGAAGCTGCTATCAGTGTTGTCCTTATTCGAGAAGAAGGACCTCAACAACATCCAATTTATTATATTAGCAAAGCACTACATGAAGCTGAGTTACGACATCCGCCTATGGTAAAATTGGCTTATGCACTGGTTACTGCAGCTCGGAAGTTACAACTGTTTGTCCTATTTTTGTTATCTTTTTGTTTAATGGTTTATAGGTTTTTAGCCCCCGGTTTAGGTCTTTTGATAGGATTTTCGGTCCTGCAGTCGTTTATTTCGTGTTTTTGCTATTATTATGTTACTTTCGTATATTCGTTGGTTTTCTCTGTTTTTCGGGTATTTTCTTGTTCTTGGAGGTGTGCAGGTTCGGATTTTTGACCAAGTGTTGGAAGTTACCAAGCTGAGTTGTCCCGGTTTCACAAAGCACGTGTATATATGGAGCTCGTCCAGTTACCACGCCGCGGCGAGCCTCGCGCGCGGCACTTCTCACTTTTCACGGCGCGACAACACACGCGGAGCTCCTCACGGGCCTTCAGACGACCCTTTTTAGTCACCGCGCCGTTGCCACTCCCACGCCGCGCAACTTCCGCCTTCCCACGCCGCGGCACAACTCGCGGCGACCTCCACGACTGGCCAGAGAAGTTCAGCAGCCCAGGTGCCACGCCGCGGCACTTCAGTCCCTTCACGCCGCTGCACTTCTCTCCCTCACGCCGTGACCACCGTCGCGCCACGCCGCGGCAGGCTTCGCGCCACGGTGTCTGATCTTGTGAATGCTGAAACTGTTCGCTATTATGTAGGATTGAGCATAGGGTTTAGGATTCATTCTACACTTTTCATTTCTCTCTCGTTTTTATCAGACCAAAACTTGTTCTCTTTATCTTTTGCTTATTTTTGAGATTTTTGGGAGTGACACCCAAGGATTTTGATCGTAGATTCAGACTATGCTTGAGATTGACACTCTTTATTTATCTATCGTAAGTTTTCTTCTCATTTGACTATGAGTTTGGAATATTTACTGTATACAATATTTTGTGTTCGCTTCAGCATGAGTGGCTAAATCTTTAAGCTAGGGATAGGGGGTGATTACTCATACTCGTGTGCTTATTGTGCTTATGAATTTCGTTCAATCTATTCGAGTTGATTTAAACCTAGGGTTAGATGCTTGATCACCATTCTGATCTAATTAATCGACTTGTAGAACCGAAAGGGGAGAAGTCGGTCGATCTAGGCTCGACTAGAGTAGGCTTGTTCGTAATTGTATTGCCTACGTGTTAATTGATTGGGTTGATTTGCCGTCTATATTTTTCCTCTTGTTACGAGATGTTATTGAGGAATAATTTCTAGATGTGTAGGTTAATTGAATCATTTAGCTGAACGTATTCTACTCAGCATTTTGAATTTGATTTGGGTTTAATCATCCCCGATTCCCTAGCCTTCGTACGTATAAGGAACTCGTTTTAAGCTTTGATAATTGTTTATTTGCGCTATCGAGCATTAGCAGTTGATATTTAAAAACCAAAATCATTGAATTAGAGTGTTTAGGAATTTAATTTCTTCTTCTTGTGATTGAATATACGTACGAAATAATCCGGCTAACCTTCCTTGCGATACGACCCGGTGTTCGAATCTTTTGATTTAACTCCGGTAAAAATAATTACAACAACAACCTTACTTTCAAGAACATTCAATAACAATACTTACTTCTTATCCTTTGAGGTCTATCCTTCACCGACCCGATACTTCGGGAAGAATGGTCAAATGGGCGATTGAACTCGGCCAATACGACATTCACTATAAACCGAGGACCACCATCAAAGCTCAAGTCCTATCTGATTTCATCGCCGAGTTCACTCCCACAATTGAAGAAATCAAAGAAGATCAATCATGGACTTTATATGTCGATGGCTCATTAACCCAGCACTGAGCTGGTGGGGGTGTTGTTCCTTGATCCTAACAATAGGATGTTCTGTCACTCTGTCAAATTTCTTTTCCCAGCCACAAATAATGAAGCCGAACACGAAGCTCTGCTTTCTGGGTTAAATCTTGCAGAGTCGATGAACGTCAACAAGCTCAAAATATTCTCCGATCCAAAGTTACTTGTAAACCAAATCCTTGGAGAATTTGAAGTAAAAAAACCTCGGTTAGTGCCATATCTAACACTTGCAAAACAAAAGCTGTCCAAGATTGACGTCCAATTAGAACACATTCCCCGTTCTCAAAACATTCCGGCCGACGCAATTTCCAAACTCGCATCAAGTACCAGAATAGAAAACGTAGAGTATATCCAAGTCATTCAACAGGAGCTACCATCCACTTCAATCAACGAAGTCTTGAATACTGAACTACAGAAGACTTCGACTTGGATGACACCAATTATTGCGTACTTAGAAACTGGGGCCTTGCCACAAGATCCTAAAGAAGTTCGGTCTCTCCGAATTCGAGCAGCTCAGTTTACATTGGATAATGAAATCCTTTACAAAAGAGGATATTCCGTTCCCTTGTTGAAGTGTTTAACCGAGCAAGAGTCAAAATATGTCCTTGAAGAAGTTCATGAAGGAATCTGTGGAAATCACAACTGTGCACGAGCCTTAGCCTACAAAATACTTCGACAAGGATATTACTAGCTGACTTTAAAGATATACGCAATGAATTGGGTTCAGAAATGCGCGAAATGTCAAATATTCGCGCCCAACATAAATCAGTCCCCAGAATCTCTCAAGTCAATATATAGTCCATGACCGTTTGCTAGATGGGAATCGATTTAATCGGCCCACTTCCAACTGGAAAAGGAGGCGTAAGGTTTGCCATTGTTGCTGTCGATTATTTTACAAAATGGGCTGAAGCTGAGCCGCTAGCCACGATTACCGAGCAAAAAGTTGTTGACTTTATTTAGAAATCAATCATATGTTGGTTTGGCATACCGAGCTCTATCATAACCGACAACGGTCGACAGTTTGAAGGGAAACGACTCGAGACTTCCTATGAAGAATATCAGATCAAATATTTTTTCTCTTCCCCATATCATCATCAATCCAACGGATAAGTTGAGGCGATCAATAAAATAATCAAAAAATAGATTAAAGACCCGACTTGATGCCGCAAAAGGGACTTGGCCTGAAGAATTGCCCAATGTTTTATGGGTGTATAGAACAACAATTTGTCACACGACAGGGGAAACACCCTTTTCCCTAACTTACGGGTCAGAAGCCGTTGTCCCCGTTGAACTTGGGTCTCCGACATATCGAGTAGCCAATTTTCACAATGAAACCAACTCGGAAAACCTGAAAAGCAATCTCAACCTCATAGATGAGACACGCTTGATGGCCAATCTCAAGAATGCCGCCTATAAGCAAAGAAGCGAAAGATATATCAACTTGAAAATGAAGTCTCGCTCATTCTGAGTTGGAGAACTTGTGCTTAAAAGAATTACTGGACCAGACCCGGGACCTTTGAAACCAAAATGGGAGGGACCATTCAAGATAAGCCAATTACTTCTAAAAGGTACTTACCGACTCGAACAACCAGACGGAACTCCTCTTCAGTATCCATGGAATGCTGTGTATCTCAAGAAATACTTCCAGCAGCTCCAATAATGTAAATATGACTCTATACACTCTTTTGATAAACATAAGAAAATTGTGTGCTCTTTAGTCTCTTAAAATTTTTGCCGAGTACTCTAACTCAATATAATGTTAGTCTTTATTTAGCCAAGCTTTTGTACTTGGACAAGACTAATATCTAAACTTTAAATTCAGTCTTGATTATAACCGAGCTAAATAACTCGGCAAGACATACCTTTTCGGCCAAAATAGCAACCTTCAAAAGACCAAGTTTTATAGTTTGGGGAGGTTGAGGGCATAATTTGAATTAGTGGACCAATGCCTTTAAATTCAAATCCTGAAGTTGATTTGAATAAGGTAAAGTTCCGTTTCCCATCAACCTCTAGTAAAAATAATTGATGGAGCCCGTTCCTGTAAATCAAACTTAGCCGAGGTTTGAACACTTGAATGAATCAGCAAAATAAACAAAATGCTGGATATGATAGTCGGAAGTAAAAGTTAACCGAAATTCTATTTTCAAACTCGGAAACTACGTAAGTATCCTAATTGGTTATACTTTAACTTGGTTGTTATTCTCAATATTAATCCGACATTCCTAAACTTCTTTAAAATTATGTCGGAAATGCGAAAATTCGAGTTAAAAAACAAATCACTATAATGCTTATTTCAAGTTCGACATACTTGTACAAGAAGTTGTGGATGAAGAAAAAAGTAACAAAAGCTATTCATTCATAATAAACATTGTTCCAAAAACTATTACAATTTGTCTTGAAGAAAAAAATTTTAACTAAAAACCTAAGTGTACCGACATGCCGGTACCAAAAAAAAAAAAAAAAAAAAAGAGAAATTAATTTGATGTCCCAGCACCATCATCTTTTCTGGAAGTGCCTGCTTCATCATCTCCATTCGGAACCTCTGAAATATTTGGAGCAGTACTTGTCTCACCAACTCTTTCGGCTCTAATAGCCTCCTCGACATATTCTCCGGTGATCTGCACATACATCTGTCTGCCAATGCTCTCCAGAACTCAGTCCTCTTCAGCCTTAGCAATCTTTTCAATTCCGAGACCATCACTGGAATGCGTTCATCATAAACCGGATCTTCCTCAGCGACTTCATGAACCGCGGTCTCTTTTGGATGTTTGACTCCCTGAGACAGCTCTCGGATTTTTCCTTCAAGAAAAGTCAATACTGCTTTCTGAATCTGCTCAGGACTCATCTTTTCAACTTCTTCCTCCATGTTGACTTCAGCTAATGTCTTAACATAGACATCAGCCAATACAGCCCTTTTCTCCTTCTCGGTCTCCAGGAGCATACTAACAAAAGACCGACGAAGGCAAGCGTCTCTCTCCTTGCTCAATGGAGGAAGATGAGGATTTTCCAATTCAGCACCCGCAGAGACAAAGAGCCACTCGCAAAACTCCTTTTCATCTTCATCAACATCGATATGTGCAGTCTCAATCTTCGGGTCAAAGTTATGCTTCTTGATCTTGTGGAGAAGATAATGTTGCAATTCCTCAATGTCGTAGAGGCCTTCATCAAACCGCTCTATGACCCAACAGAGATTTAAGTAAGTATTCATCTCAAACTCCTGATCCTCATCCTCGGAGTCGGATTCAACTGTCGTTTTCAATCTAACGGCCTCAGCCTCAAGAATCCTTCCGGCTCGGAGACCGTCATTGTACTTCAGCTCAGCAAAATTAATCTTCTCTTCTTGAAGTCTGCTGAGGTCGGTACGATGGGCATCTCGGCTCTTCACCAATAACTCTTCAACCTCGGTACGCTTGTTCTGAGTGAACTCATGAGCCTCCTGCTCTTTGCGTAGAAAAATTTCGCATCGAGCGAGCTGATCCTCCAGAGTTTTAACGCGCTCCTCAGATGCAATAATCTGACTGGACAGTCGAAGTGCCTCATTATCGACAACGGACTTCTCGGTTTTTAAAGTCTCAATTTCACCTTGAGCGATCAAGAGCTGTTGATCTTGCTCGGCGATCTTCACCTTCAATGCCGCCTCCTTGTTAGCTGCTTCTTCCTTCAGAGATGCAATGGCTCCATCTTTAAGTTCCAAGATGTGCCTCTTCTCATCAACTTGGGCGGCATTTAGCCGAAAATCATCCTCGGCCATAACTAAACTAACAAGAGCCCGGCCGAGACAAGCCTTAGCATATTTAAACTTGTAAGCACTCGGCAATGAGGACACACCAATCTCAGCTCTCGGATCCTACACCATCATTGGGACCCGAGCAGCGTCGATAACATGACTTGGCAACTCAACCTTGCTCGGGATCTCGGGAATCTCCACCGACTCGAAAGTTGAGAACCAGTTCTCAACCGATTCCCGAGGTTGTTTGAAGTCCATCGCCCTCTCTTCATCAATGGGCAAGAAGGACCTATCTACTAACGGCTCCTTCTTCTTTTTCTTCTCACGCTGACCGACGTCATGCTTCTTCTTAGAGCGCCCCTCATCAGCTGGAACACTCTCAGCACGTCTCTTCTGTCATCGGGTCAGCGCGACCTCCTGTTGTTCGACCACATCTCGGTCACCCTCAGCTTCATCGGAGACCACCTCGATAATCGATTGGATCTCCGTTTGAACGGTTTCAGTAACTGGTTCTGCTCCAGATGAACCAGCAACTGCGGTGGCTATAGCAGCAATTGGGCCCGCAGCTGCTATCACCAATGGATTCGGCTGCACCACAGCCCCCGACGTCGCACCATCACCGACATCGGCATCCTTGGGGTTCATAATTAGGTTCTTCAAATATGCTTTCACTAACTTCTTGCTACCCATCTCAGACAGACGTTGTTCTTTACTTTTCCCAACTTTAGTTCGAAGATCGAGATTTGGGCACTCTTGACGGAATCTTCTAGCGTCTCTTATGGTTAAGAAACCGAGAACTCCAAAAAGTGGGTAATATACTGCATTCGAATATAATTACCCAAGTTAGAATTATTCATATGATTTTCCAACTTCAAGGAAAAAGTTATAAATATATAATCAGAAAATACTTGGTTCAAAGTAAGGATCGGAGATTTTGGGACAAAGGTTGGCTACTTCCAATTTGAATTCTTCAGAACAAGTTTGAAGTTGCGCTTTTCCTTTGTCAATTTAAACAATTCAATGATCCTGTCTTTCAACTCTGCACCGAGTTTCGGCTCCTTCGTTCTTCGGGCTGCAAATAGTAAAATCGCTGACCTGTTAGTACAAAAATGAAGACAAGTCAGAATAGACTTGGTGCAAAAGAAAAAACAAGGCACTTACAATAGGCAGAATTAACGTTAATCGGGATAGACATCCCGCCAATTGGTGGTTTAGAAAAATTTGGGGTCTGCCAATCTCCACCGACCCATAGCCACTCCTCTTGAAACCCATGGAGAGACTCTGGAATCTCGGTAATTAAATCTCCGACACACCGTCTCAATGTGAAGAGACTTCTAATCTCCTCAACAGTCGGCATATCCCATTCTTTTTCCTTCAACAACACCATCAAACCTATAATTCTCTTCCAACTATTTGGTGCAACTTGACACAAAGCAAGACCCCAATCTCACAGATAGTCGGTAATCAAGGCCGGCAAAGGAAATCTTACCCCTGACCTTAAAGAATCTGCGAAAACACCGACACAACCTGGAGGAGGACAAGTAATCCTTTCTCTAGGGTATGGAGCAAATAACGTAACAGTCGAAGAAACTTGAATTTCATTGTTCAAGTTAAGCCTTTCGACAAGAAGGGGATCCCATCGATAATGTCCTTTGGCTTCTTCCGACGTCTCATCCCTATTCGAGAGGCAATTCTAAATCCTCGTCATAAAAAATCCTATCCTCTGAAATCGTGCGACTACTACTAATCTCGGCTTGGGAAACCATATCTCCGAGATTGATGAAAAGAAAAACAAATTGTAAATTGATGGATATAAGAAATCGCAAATTAGGGCAAAGACTTACCGAGAATTTCAGAAGTCCTATGTTGGAGAAGATGAAAGGATAATCGCACGAAATAAAAATCAAAAGAGAGTTCGAAGAGTTTTAGCGACAGAAAATTAGAGCAGAGGATGAACAATTCAGAAATTGAAGGTAAAAACTCTTTGCAGTCAAACCGACTACAATTTATAGTTCGTGATTTATGACCGTTGAACAATCCGGAATCGGCGCGTGAAACGACATGTCCTTAAATGGCGTAACGTTACAGTAATCATTAATGCACGTGGGCTAATCTCAAGATGCCATGTCGCCCACTATTCTGTCCGTTGCACCCATTAAATACAGACACGTCTTTTAAGAACAGCCACGTCAACAGAGCCGTTTCACGATATTGTTTCCCTATCAGCAAAAGTTAGCGACAACACAAAGTATTCGCATGTCGGTTACTAAGTAAACAGAAGTCGAAAAACAATCAAGTCGGGATTACTGGAAACACTAACAACATCAGCAGCCATTTTGAAGCTCAAATACCTATTAATGTCGGGGGCCTCTCTGTTGATGACCGACTTGATTTCCCGTAATTAATCAAAGATTGATCATCTTACCTTATTAATGGTCCATTGAAATTATTCTCAGCGGCCAACTTAGTTCAAGTCAGTACAGCTGAACAAACCACCGACTTTGGGACATTTAAAGAAAACCGACTTCACACTAAAAGACAGAGAAAGACGATTTCGCAGACGTTTATATTAAAGTTTATCCAATAAACCAAGGTCTGAGAAGATCGAATTTCGAAGCAAGAGACGCTGTATGCTTGTGATTGGACCAACAAAATCAAAGAATAATCATTGATGTTCCCTTATTCCATCACACGCCGCTTTATCGAAGCAGCTCAACATTAAATGCGATCTAATCTACCTCAAACAAGAAGACAAAATCACCGTACTATAAATAGCAAAATCTATTACTGTACGGGGATCCTTTCTAACAAATTGTACACGGACTATAAAACATCTCGGTTATGAACAGAAAAGCCGACTTCCTGTACTCTTGTGAAATGATCAATAACACACAAATTTATGCTTATTTCCTTTTAAATACACCTTGTTGCTTGTTAATTTAAGTTGTTAAATTTCATATAGCAACATATGTATTGAACAGAATCTCAGAGAAGAGAAGTTCGTTTTATACTGATCATCGTAAACGAACTAGACCTCAGTTAATTACTGCGTTCTCTTAACCCGTAAGATATTAAACAGACATATATATGCAGTACATATTACTTTTATTCACTTGTGTGAAGTTCAGTTCGCTGGATTAACATTCCTACTGTCTTGGGTAATATTGTTGTATGTATTGTGTGCTGTTAGAATATTTACGGTCACCATGCGCGTTAGTTTGATGATATCTCTGAAGTGAGTTCATGAATGATTGTTATGCTAAAACTCTCAAGTGGAATCTCTGAAGTGAGTTCATGAATGATTGTTATGCTAAAACCCTCAAGTGGATTAAATTCCGACATAATAATAATGTGATGAACGAACGCTAGCTTCGGTGAAATAAATAATATATTAATTAATTCTTGATTGACAGTAGTCGAATTAATTAATGAAGATTATATCTTAAATGTAGATAGGTATATCGGATATGAAAAGAGAGTGCAATATTATGTAATTGGAGTGGATTTAGCCCACAATTAGTCTAATTAATTAAGAAGCTCTATTCCTAATATATGAAAATCCTCGTCCTTTATACTCCCAAAATGTCCGTTGTCAGAAAAGAATATAGGCTCGTCAGCTGCTTCTATAAATGATAACACAAAAAGACCATATAAATTCCCAAAGCTCATTTCACAATCCAGACATGCCCACAACATTCTCCTCTGTGTTAACAACACAACATATATCTATCAACGTGAATTGCTCAACACCATCATTTCAAAGAAAAAAAAAAAAAACAATAATGCATTTTTTATTTGTGAGGCCGACTTAGACGCTGTGCAACACGCTCTAAACTGGGTTTATGCCGGCTTAATCCATGCCACGACTGAGCTGAACAAAGATTGGCAATCCTATCATGTAAGAGATCAAGGTTGACAAGAGGAACGGTTGTCGGTCGCCCGTGAGCACACTATATGAGTTCAAAGAGATAAAACTTAAGCAAGAATATTAAATATAGACGCAACAAATATCAGTAAAATCGAACCCGGATGACAGTCACTCTTGTGTCCTGGTTATCACCAATCAACTCACCTGGAAACAAAGTGAAGTCCGTTTCAGCTCATCAACAAGGAGAGAACATTCTGACGGCAGTAATGAGTCACCAAACATAATCGCCCCTGAGAATGGTTACATTATCAATCAATCAATACAGAAAGTACAAGGCCCGATTAACTCAGTACCATTTCTTTGTTTCTTTCAGCAGCTCAGAGTTTTGCACTGTGGGAGGGATGAAGAAAAGTTTAAAATGTCTAACCATGTGAACACATGAATATCTTATATATGGAGGTTAGCCTCTAAAATGCTGTACCATACATACCCCTGCATGCTTTGTTATTAAGGACACGATGAACAGATGGAGGCATGGTTGATGATCCATCTGTATCAACAAGCTGCAGATGCATAAGACAGATCAGAAGAGGACATATGAATTAAAAATTAAATATAACTAAATAGATGAGTAGACAATGGAAAGGCAAACAAAATTTCACCTGTTGGAGAAATTCTAGGAGATCGGCATCAGTTAAATCAACATCCAGAATTCGAGGTACCTGAAATCAATGCAGATAATGTTGTTTCTAAGCAAAACTGCTTCAAGGTAATAAGATGGTGGCCCAGACTGATGGAAGAGTTTAACCATAAGGTTCACAAAGGAACTACATTCATATAAAGAGAAGAATATGACGAGTTTAGACATAGTGTTGAGAAAACAATAACTCTAATGTTCCTAACTTTAACTTAATTGAAACTCAAATGTAAGGTAGGTATAAATCCTTCATTCCCTCTACTTTTTCCCGTATCCCAACGAAATCTTCCAGTTATATGAAACTTCGTCTCATTATTCTTAGGTGTAACTCTAGACAGTAGTAACATAAGAACCGTTTATCTGACGAATTATTTACACATTATTTTTGCAATTTTTATAGTAACAGAAGAATATTGCAGCTCAGCAAGGCGCTTCTGTGTTAATATATATTTCATTAAGGTCTCTACATGTAGTTACTTGTCGAAGCATAAGTTAGTAAGAGCAAATAAATTGAGTTGGATGTGTGCTTGTATGTAATGGCATTCATATCTGTTTTCTTTATCATGTTGTCAAAATACTTTCTAAAATGAATTATATAATTCATATATATATGAATTATATATATATAGATGAAGAATATACTTCATCATTAATCTATACTTCTATATTCAGGTATAAAGCACGGAAGAGCAAATGCGTAAGCTACACATTTAGTAGCAAAAGTTGGAGCATTACCGCAAGAAGTTTTACTACAGTTTGCTGCTTGTGTAGAAAATCCAAATGTCTGGAAGGAAGTATACAATAATATTTCTGAGTATAGGTTATTCATGTATATAGGAAAATTAAAAATGCAACAGTAGGACAGTGTGTAGCAATAATCCTTCCAAAGCATAAGGAGGTTTTTACCGGTTTATACCCTACAATCACTAATGCATTTTTACAGAAACATAAGAAAATCTAACATATGAAACATGTGGACAAGGATAGCAGTTACTTTGAGAAGGAACTTGCATCCTGGGAATGAATATTGCACATCCAACCCCAAGACTGAATCTGCGCAGCATAATTTTGCAGTAACTGATAGCCAAATTCAGGCAAAGCCTGTACCGTTGTAAAGAACAATGAAAATCTATTCTTGAACAACTTGGGAAAGAGAGATGAGATGTTTCCCACATGAGATAAGCAGTATTGCCTACCATTTGCTGCTCAGCATCCAGGTACGTGATTGTCTTCATTTCACCCGACAACACCTGATATTTTCTCAGGATAAATCAAGACATAAATTGGAACAGAAGACATCCGTAACACATCTATCAGCTAGCAATTATACCTTGAGACGCAAAGCTTCCAATCTAATTCTTTCATCAGCAGCATGCTGTTTTGTGAACAGTCAAAACAACCAAGAACAAATAAGCATGCAGTAGTGTTTATACATGATCAATTGTTTGAAAGAGGTGATAGTTAGAAACACAGATGTATTGTCCTAAACTGATTTACTTGATGATGATGATGATGATGATGGACAAGTTTGAATACTAAAACTGATCTACTCTATCCAGAAGTATTGTCCTAAACACACTCCTAGTCTCCTAGTGAATTATATTTTCGCCAATCTTTTGTTGAATAGAATTGTTGGCTTTAAGCTTGGGCGGGAAGTTTCTCCCCGGAGTGTCGGCCTTAGGCTGGGTGGGATTCGTCCCGAGTTATTTTTGAGTTAAAATTCTTAATTAATAATATCAATTATCTATATTTTCGTTTGCTTTCACCCTTAACTCTCAGAAAAATATTAACTTCTTTCAAATAATAATGTGATCGCACTAAACTAAGCTATTATAGCTTTCCACCAACAGGCAACAAAGTTATACAGTCCATCCAAGAATATCAAGAAAAATTTCTGCTTAGAAACCATTGTTGGATTGCACCACTCGTGCCAAAAAAAACACTTTAAATTAACTAAATCAATGACTGAGATAAGCGGAAAAGAATGTCTTCATAAACCTGGTCGATTATAGCAAGGTTTTTTCCGGCCACAATTGCTATGAATTTCTTGTCAACCTGATTGAGAACTTTTGCATCCTCAAGCAACGTCCTGTCAATGGACTTAGGAATCAAGGTATCACCAGCAAGATGCATGGTGTCTGAGGTGATGTCAAGGATATTGTCTTCGTCATTTGTATCATCTGATCTGCTCCCGCCCTATATGGTAAAGAACATTTACGAAATTAGAAATCAAATACTCTGTGATCTAACACGAGCAACAGTGCTAAAATTCTTAATTTCACAGCCAGTAACATGCTTAACAGCAGATGGTAAAAGTTGATTCCGCCATTTGCACAGAGTCTTCTGGGAATCCTGAATTTCACTCGTATCAAGACCTGGAGATATGATTTTATCATTACCAGTGCATTAAAAGGATTAATACTACTAAATTTTTCGAATTTACCCTTGACATATAGGTGTGTAGCAATAGAGCGAAAGCAAGAATCAGAATTAGAGAATTCCAACACTTATCTTTCTGGTAAGATGGAAAACAGAATGTAATTGGTTAGAAGAAAAAACTTACATTCCACAGACCCCACTCTGACAGATAACCCCATATTTTGTGGTCCGCCATTGTCAACGACTTCAGGTGCCATTTTCAAAATTTGTCTGCAAGATATAAATAAATGAACTGAAAACTTGACATAAAATGTCTAGCACAATGTCTGAAACTTTTAAACCTTTCATCAATAGAGAGATCTTTGGATGGCCTTTCCATTAGAGACGCACAATATTGGTCAAATGAAATTTGAGAAATTTTCAAATTCTCAGCTTCGGAATGGAGTTTTCGACAAGAGTCCCTAAGATCTGCACCATACAAATTGCCAATTTTTCACTTCAATTAAAAAATCCATATTTGAATTAATTTTTGTATATGAACTAATGAAGATTAACTGACCCTTGAGATAAGTTGTCGACTCAAGTGTTCTAGGGATGTTCTGAAAATTTCTCTTTGTGGACAACATGGAGGAAGTACAAGTCAAATCAATATATCTCTTCTTCCTTTTGTGAAATGGTGGGGCTGAGTGGCTTCTAATGAATATTTTCCTGCCATCAGAGGGTGTCTTTCGATTCCCCAGATCTGGATTTTCAAGTTCATTTACCATTGGTGATGGGTTATATGATGATGGCACTAGGCAATTTCTGGGACTTTGTTGACCACATGGAGATAACAATGACCAATCTCTTTTACGGAAATTTTTGAAAGACTTTGGAGAGAACATATAATCAAAATTTCCCCAATGAAACTCAATATTTTCACTATTTCTATCAGGGGACATGTTTACAAAGGAGCACTTCAGCTGAGACCGACGGAATCTTGTAATTGAATTGTTATAATTGAAATCTTCACCTTCTCCCTGAGTGCAATATAATTCAGGGCAGCCTTCATTCAAACCTACATAAGTAGCCTCATCATTATCATTAAACCTGATCCCAGTATTATCCTCAGCTGTAAAAGGAGACCATCCAGACCTAAAACACTGCCAATTAGGACTACAGTTGGGGTCCAGTGAAAAAGATTCTGGTGGAATTTTTGCAAATACTGAAGATGACATGTCTGAGTCCCACGTGGGAAACTCTACTATTTCATGCATGTCAAATTGAGCCCTTGAAGCATATTGAAATATTGATGCTTCCTCCTGTTGTCGATCCATTCCCAACACATTAGCCCCAATTTTATCATCCATACTATCGTCACAGTCATTCCAGGATTTTTCAGTTCTATTGTCACCTCCTCGAAGTTGAAATCTTTCATCCATAACAGGTGAATTTCTATCGAACATCAACTTTCTTCCAGATGAGCAACTTCTGAGAAATTTTCTACTTGGCTCCTGGTGAAGATTGGTGCCATCACTAAATTGAAGATCGTCAGAAACAGCCACAGTCGCCGTTGGTATGTCATCTGTTTCAGCATCCAATTCTGGCAAGGAATTCTCCGAATACAATGATAATCTATCCTCATCTTCACTAAATGTATATTTTGCATGTGACCTAGAATAAACAACGCAAGGTGATGGATCATCACAGATCTCATTACGGGTTGTTGTCTCGTAACCAGTTACGGATCCACTGTGTAATCGACCTGTTACCCCGTAACCAGCTAGAGATCCACCATGTGATCGCCTTTGGTAGTCCACTTCACATAGAGAACCTATCTCTTTCTGGTTCTTAATTAGCTCTGAAACTTTTCTACAAGGCTTTCCATATGAATATACACACCCGTCAAAATCCAGCCTGTCATCATAGTCGTTGCAGTGCTTCTTTGCCTGTGGGGAGTCCAAATACGAAGGAGCTTTAAACTTATGCTTCCAGCACCTCTTCTTTCCACTTCCAAACGTATCAGATGCATCTTTATCTGCTGTGACTAGAAAATTATCAGAAGACCAAAATGGAGCAAGAAACATAAAAACGTTTCATATGATGGTATATAAAAATGGGGTTTAAAAAAAAAAAAGAGAATAACAACTAGAAACTGTGTCTCCTGTTTAAATACTAAACAGAGCTTGTAAAAGGAAATTGTCTGCACAAGCTTTTATCACTGGAGTACTCCAAATTACCTATTATTATTATTATTATTATTATTATTATTATTATTATAATCCATACATAGGTGATTTAAGTTAACACCAGATCAGTTCATTGAAACCGGGAGATCATGAAGTATATGGAAAATATTACTTAAACCAGGCAATAGTCCATTACCAGGAGATATGTATTCATTCCAAAGACGCAGGACACCATTCCCAATCAAAGTAAGTACAGGATCCCAGTCCTGATACAGAAACGCGTATAAATACATTTGGCACAGGGATGATCCACATATTATCTATCAGATCACGTCAACAAAAGATCCGGACCTTTTTTACAACAAAATTGCTAATGCAGAGGATCATGAGTGTAATTCCTGAGCTACAGCATAAAGTTCAAAAAACACACGAATTGAGACTCACGGCATATCGTAATTAGAAAAGAAAAGCATCATGACACTTCTTTTAGCCTAGTTGTACTGAGAACTTTCAAGTCCAGCATAAGTTAAAATACTTCAAAACCACAGCCAATATTACCACCTTGAATTCCACTGAATTCCGTCCAGGAGTGGTTATATCATAGTAAGATCTCGGGCAATGTAGATTCAGAATGAACATTGGGCACATCTTATACTTATTTTGCTTCTTGCAGTTGGAGCTAACAGTAGTCTGACACGCATTCAACAAATCAAATTGGGCAGCCAACTGATTCACTAATGTGTGGATTGGTCCCTTGGACACAAATCTTGAGTTGATGTCTGCGTTTACAATTAAGAAATACAAATAGTAGAATTCCCATCTATAGGAGATATACCTCCACTAGATCACATCAAAAGGACCGATGTTATGGATACAGACATATTGGATTGCCTGCATGCAACCCATTATTGATTAGTAAGTAGAAATGAGTTTGCATATCACATAGTCAAGCACAAACCACCAGTGGCATACCTTTGGCAGTAACACCTCATGGGGATCAGAAATATACCCAGTAAGCTTCAGTTCATCATCAGATATATTGAGTTTGTACAACGTAGCTGAATACTCAATCCCAAAATAACTAGAAAGTATTGATAGTGGAGAAGATGAAGTTCTTGTATGAAGCAGATCCAAGGCACTGCATTACAAATTTAAAAGGTGCAAAAATTTAAAAGTGGCTATTGAAGAGTTATAAGTAAAGAATGAAAAGAAATTATACCTTTCCACATCAATAACTTTGAAGGAAACATTGACATGAACAAGGGCAATTCTCAGCATGCTCAATTTGATAGAATCCAACACCTTCTTTGGGCTATCATTTTGAAAAGTACGTCATGACAACATCACGTTAGTACAAGCCCTTAACAAAAAAGTAAAACGGCACAATTTAATTAGCCAAAATATCAGATTTCACCCAGAAACGAACCTGGATTCCATGTGCTTCCTTCGCACTGGTTGATTGTAAAATATATCACGAACAGTGACTGTAAGCAAAAACCAAAAATCGTCGTTGGAGATAAGAAAAACCACTACAGGTGGACAAGAGTTAACAAATGAAAACTACAGCTAGGGTCAACTCCAGTGATAAAAGTTAAAAAGACAAGTACGATGAAACACCAAAGTCCAGCTGAGGTTCATAATTAATAAAAGTTACCTGCTCATTAAGAAACAAAATTAGGGAAGCAAGAACATCTAATGTGATCCTTAATTTTTGCATCAAGTAGCTGTCACTTTTTATTGAAGTTGGTCCTCCATAATATTTTTATCTCAGAAGATGTTTGCAAATCTCTTTATAAGGTTCTGATGCAAATATGGATGATCTTTTTTATTTATTACCTAGCCAAAATAACTAGTATCATCCAAATGATATTGGAAAAACCAAAAAAGAATAAAAACGATGAAGGAAAAAAAAACACTCTTATTGAAATCTAAAGTATCACAAATATGGTAAAACAAGCTGCAAGCACTTATTTTGCAAGACTCAGGATCATTGGTGGAGTTGAATAGGGATTGGGAGATCCTAAAATTGGAGAGCTGAAAATTAGGGGATATCATATTATGTTCTCTTACTTACTTTAACTATAACCTTGGCCTATAATTATAGGTCTTTCTAATAGCTATGAGAAGCTGGAGAAGGTTCTATCTTTGTTGGAGGATGTTTTTTGAAATTCTAGATTGTAACCTTTTATCTTTAATCTATTTTCTTTTTCTGTTTGGTGTTCCTGTCTCTTTACTCCATCACAGTCATGTGATACGTGGGTGCAGGAACTTACAGAGGTTCTACAAGAAATACAAGCTTACAAATTCTCTACTATGGTATGCATGTTTTGCTCATTTTATTTTCTACTATGGTATGCATGTTTTCCTTATTTTAGTTTCTTGTTCGTCAAAGTTCTGCTTGCTCTATAACTTTATCTTCTTCCACTTTTAAATTCAAAAGAAGCTCTCAATATGCTAAGACACTATTAGTACCATGGAGTGAAGCAATAAACTCCTAGTAACTTGCTAACAATACTGGAAAAATCACTGAAGCAAACAGAACTAAGACTTTTGTTTTATTAGCAAATGAAGTAAAGATCATGGTGTACTCATTACCTCGAGAAGAATAAAATTGTTTATTCATGAAATAGTACAGCGTATTGAGAAGCATAATCTTCCTAAATTTCCTTGTTAACATCCTAAAGATTTTCCCACTATATTAAAAATTTGGCAGATATCATGCATGCACAAAATCAACACACACACACACACACAAAAAAAAGACCCAATTTCATATGGTCTAAATGCTGCAATATTAATTTTCACTGTGGTCATAAGGAGCATGGCGTAGTTATCTTCACAATTTAGCTTTACTGTTGTTAATTTCTTATGAATGACTAACTTAACATTCCTTTAACATGTATTAAAAATGTTTACTCCTATTTAATTTTTAAATTCGAAAAAGCACAGCAATGCTAATCAATCTAGGGTTTCCTTTACCTCCTTCAATCATCATTTATGCATTAGGATATCTATCCTAAACGCTCAATAAACCATTCTGCCTTTCCCTTTACTCATACTTGTGAACATATTTTCTCTTTCTAGATGAGAGCATTTCTAGTCAATATACGCATGAAGAGACGACAGTTTGTTTTGATAACTCCAAGGAGTTAGAAGGATAACAGATCACATAACCTACAATAACAAATTATTGGACAGTATGTTTGCCCAGTGGAACAGCATAAGATCTAAGGCCTGTTTGGTTTAGGTTATAATTTCACTGATGCGCAAAAACATGTATAAAGAACGCTTTAATTCCAGAGAGTTATGCATGGCATCAAAATGTCTTTTTGTAATGACAATATGGTCTTTAAATCAATAGATGGTCCAAATTCTGGTTTTCAAATGATAAATAATCAGAGGTTAAGAGAAGGCGACGAAGAAGAGGATAAGAGTCAACAACACAACAAAAAATTGCATAATTTGCTCAGCATTTCTGAAGATCCTTAAAGATATATCCTAAGCAGAAATAATGCCAGGCACAGATGCAAGCTGTGCAATTTTCCGGAAAAAAGGGAGATACTGATAGAGTAATAGTCTTGGAACAAGTTTGAACAAAAAAATCAATGTTTATTCTCAAATCAAGAGAATAATAAACATCAAGCGTAATAGGTTTTTAAGCCTGCCTTTTTACAGGGCTACCATTTTTATAGCTCAATGATAAATTTGGTATGCATCTCGTGATTCTAAATTCATTAACTTAATTGTCAATTTAGTGTCCGAGTCATTGACAGTGTGGACTGGACAATCAAGGATACGATTTATAAGATTGAAAATGAGGTTTGTAGCATTATTCATGATAAGCAATAGGGAGACACACAACCACTTTGCAATTACAAATGTCTTTTAATTACTACAAATTGTTTTTTGTTAAATGATATAAGTAATTATAAGCAATGAAATAAAAGCATCCACATTTAAAACTATTATCAGAATTTATGGTAATATGACAAAAAATAAATAAAAAAAAAAAAGGAAGAGTCTGGAATTTTTTCAAGAATCATACAAAAAAGTCAACTGCCAACGATGGAGTAGATTACCTGTAGTGCCCACCTCTTGCCTATCATCATGTATCCCAAGATACACACACTTTGAATTCTGAAAAAGCATAATAAGTTAAGCACAGCAACAGCTTAATTGCAGATATAAAAATACACAGTAATCAACATAGTCCTTTACCTTCATAATCTTTCTGTATCCATTTGGCTTTCCACGTGCTTTTGTTACAATATCTAACAAAGAAATGTCAGAAATTGAGCACAGAGCTTCTCCATGAAAGTCTAGGTTCTCGTGACCAGCATCCATCGGGGGCACATAGTTCATTTTTGATGTTACTGTTAGCAAAATAAACAAAAAAACTGTGAAGAAATCAGTGTGCAAAAACATGAAAAATGAAAGCTGTACATGGAGAGGTGGAAGCTCCAGAGAAAAAGGAAACGTGGAAGATGGTTAGTAGGCCTTTAGTTGTTTCATTCAAGTAGGTTTGCTTGGTGAATTTCATCACAGATAAATACTCAATACAGCAAACAGCAAGATTTGTAGCAAAACGATTAGCGCAGACCAAAGGGATGAGCTATCAATATACAGCATATGCAGTGGCCAAGCTGAAACTATTCAAGAATTGATCACTTCAGCTATCAATTCAGAATGGCTGTTGCTTCAACTGGATGTTAAAAATATGCTAGGAATGGAAATCTACATGAAATTACCCACTAATTTGAAGGCAATTATAGAGCAGTGGTGCATGACGGAAGCATAAAATGGAGAGTGAAGCAAACACAGGATTTGTTAGAATTGTACAGACAAAGACAATAGAACATAAAATGTTTGTACAACAGACAAGTGTGCAAAGATGGTTCGTCAAATTGTATATATGGATGACATAAAACTTACTGGGAGAAGGGTCAAGGAGCACCTGGCATCAAAATAGAATAGAAGTTGCAATGTCTACAATTGAGACTTTCGTGCCACAAAGAAGTGTGTTCACCAAGACTATTTTAAAGTTGGGAGATATTATATAAAGAAGTGGCCCTTATGAGGAACATTTAGAGATAGCATACAAGATTCTTAGATATGTCACAAGTACAAAAAGAAAAGGGGAGAAAATCGTTGGTAGAGAAGAGTGGTTAAAGAAGTGGAGTCTTCAAAGATGCATACATACGTGTGATTTGGTTAGTTGATGAGGCAAGTAACAAAATGAGGTTGTAGACAATTGGTGAAGTTGACTAGTTGAGTACGGCAAGATCTTATGGACCATAAGAAATTCGCATGATTCGCATCTAATATCTAGCATTAGATGTTAATGCACCTCCAAGACTGCTTCGTAATGTCAACTTTACCCATAAAACATTCGCATGATTCATCTGAAATCATCTTAAATTTTAATGCCAGATGCTCTTACCAATGGAGACTCCAAACATAATTTTAAACCTCCCATTGACAACTTGGCGTTCCCAACATTTATGCACCCCATGAGAGTGTAGTTTAATAAACACAAGTTAACAATGACACGATAATACAACGCACAGGTAATGACTACCTTGTTGTTCAATCATAATCAGAGTCTTAAAATGATTAGGTCAAATCGCCAAAACTTCCAAATTTGTAAGTCAGTGAGTGAATGCTTGCAACTAGTAATGTTGCATACTTTCAAACATAAGGTTTTCAGTTTCATGCACCAACATATTCATAATACATATTGCTTTAACATCCAGAAGTAACATTTATGCGAATAGTCAAGATTTTTCTTTCTACACACTCAGAATATAAAGTTGTTAAAAACTTTAGATAAATGGTATCTGATTAGACTTACTGTATCGTTCCCCCAGGAGCAACAATCCATCCCGTGTAATACCAGACCCTACAAAAACATGATAAAAAGAAATCATAATTATCTTGAGACTACTGCAAGCAACCGATTTTTTGAAGCACAGCAAACAACAACACTTAGTGAGCATTCTCTTTCCATCTCTTTTTCCTACATGAGTACATATGTCATTTGTTATCCACTTTCCTCAATTTGCAGTCATCAAACTAAATGAAAGTCAAAAACAGAACCAAACTTACCATTGTCATCCACTTTGACATAGTATTTACCCACCCCAACTGCCACAGAAACCTAGCAGACAATTTTCACCAAATTCAAATATAAATCATATCCAATATGAGTCTGAAAGCGCCGAAAGTACAGTTGCAATAACATAGTCTTCAACCAAAAGACTTACAGCCACTATTATTTTTGTAATCAAACCACCAGGATTCAGCATAGACATGTGTATCATATATGCAAATGTGTACATAGAAGTACGAGTCATGTCAATGTGTTTGGTCACTCTCCTTTCTACAGAAAACTAATGTATGATCACAAGCCTGGAATGACAACCTTGATCTAGTCCTCAAGTTAGATTGATGTTTCTTTCTACTATCAGTCAGGTGTAGCTTGTGTGGCAAAATATGTGTGTGAAGTTCATTGCACAAGGCAAGATACTCAAGGGAGATCGTATATAAATGGGTACTATTCAGTATGGGAAATAATCAGACGGAAAAAAGGCTCCTTGTTTTCCCTCTGGTTCTCTCTCACTTTACTCATAACAGACAACTCTGATTTGAATGAAAAGTCAAGCGGCACCATAACTCAATTTGCATATAAACACAATTGCAGTCGAAAAATTGTTCCACTACAAGCAATTTTATGCAATTCAAGAAATAGAGTCATTTAAGCAACACTTTTTGGAGCCGAAAATTAACACACTCCTATAACTTCCCACAGTATGAGCGTAACCCTCCCAAAATATTTAGCGACCAATAGAGAGCCAAAAAAATCTCTTTCTGCGCAACTTAACAAATAACTCACCTTAGTAGCGCCTGCATCGAGGCTGTTATAAACCAACTCCTCAACAACCCTTGTAAAATCACACATTACAAGCCCTGAGCGCACAGAGTTGTGAACGGCCTTAGGCAAGCGCTCGATGCTCCTCATCTGACACTATACTTGAACAAATTTCTCGATAAACCAACGTCAAGAGAACAACACAACAGCAAAGGCACAATCTATTGCATACACCTAGAGAACTGAAATGGAGTGTAAAACTGGAAAGGTGAGAATGATATTCAGTGTACACCATATAGTCCGTCGACAAGCGCAAGCGCAAGGTATGAGAAACTGGTGGGAAAACAAAAAATAAACGACATTCGGGATTAATCCTGGAACATAATAGAATAACTGGCAAATTAGGGGTATACAATTGGGATTTCGAGAAAGTTTTTAAAATTTGAGATCTTTTATGGGACTTTTTTAATATTTTTAATAGGGAATGTGTGAGCTAGTGGTGAGCATGGGTCGGTATGGTTTGGAGATTGAGAAATTTTTAGAACTGTACCAAAATTGGAGATCAATAAATTCGATCTATGGAATCGTACTAAACAATCAGAATGGTTCGGTTCAGAGATTTTTATTTTTCAATTCGGTTCGGTTCTGTAGTTAGGACTATCGAAAAGGTTCGGTTCGGTACGGTTCGGTCCGGATCTTCGGAGATTTCTTATTTTAAATTTTTTTTAATGACTACCTAGTTCTATTTTAATTTTTATATGCTTTAAAAAAACAAAGTTCATCAATACTTCATCATCTTGAAAATTTTATTTTGAAATCAACTTTAGAAGTAACTCTAAAGTTTAGTTATTTAATTATTATATTCTTTAAAAAAAATCAGCATTCATCAATACTTTCTCATATTAAAAATTTTATTTTGAAATCAACTTCAAACTCTAAATATTAGTTAAGACTAAATTTGTGCAACTAATATTGAAAATTTAAATTTCAAATAAAATCTAATATAGTTTTTTTCTTGAAAAAATATTTTTTAACCTTTCATACCATTTTAAATAACTTTCTTTTTTTTTTTTTCCAAAACGATAGATACTATTATAAATCAAAAGCGCACAAATGTGCAAATACAAGCAGCTCCAAGCTGAATGAGAACAACCAACAGCTGAAAAGTGGGAGGACAAGTCAGAAGACCGCCTACAATCCCGATTAGCAACGCTAAAATAAAAACTCGCAACTAAACTAACCAACTACACAAACAACTAGAACAACTAAGAGGCCCCAACAGAGTAATACCCGAATGTCGGATTCCAACAGGATAATAAATTTGACACTCGGGCGCACAGGGGCCAACGGCCCAAACCAAAAACACAATACACGCTCAACACAAATACTAACAGAAAGAACAGAAAAAAACACAAGAAACATTGACACAAATAAACTAAAAAATCTAACAGCCCTTCCCCAGCAAGTGAGTTAGCCCGAACCAGCTGTGAAAGATCGACACAAGATCAATCAAGGCCAAGAACCTTCTACTGAAACTGCAATTAAGCCTATACAGTAGAAGAAATCTAACCCCGAATCAGTCTCCGAATCGACCCATCGAGAACCAAGAGCGCCATAGTCCGTCCCACACCGATTCCACTCGAACTCTTTTAACACCACTAGACGAGGCCGATAGAACCTCCCCCGCCGTCTAACACCACTAGTCAAACGGGGGATTGTGCGAGAGAATACGACCCTCACCTCAACCACCACGTCCAAAGCGCCGCAGCCATCGGAGTCCCAACCACCTATAGACCCGCACGCCGCCTAACAACTCGACAGACCCCCCGACCAGAGATACAATCTCGTCTAAAAGATGGAGCTCCGCTGAGAACGACCCGACAATCGCGAACAAGGGAGAAAAGAGGGACTTACCACCACAATCGATACATCGCCGGCAACGGAGGGATTCCACCACCAATCTTCGACCGAGAAGGACGCCGCCAATTGAATCCCTGCCCGCAACCTAGAGCTAGCATCCCGATCGAGGCCCATCCACCAAGAATCAGAGGCGCACGTCGTCAATGGAGGTCGGGACAGTCATCGACGACCCCTGGCCAAGATTAACCATCACCGAGGAAGGCGGATCTGCCTGAGAGAAGAGGTGTGCGCCGAGGGTTATTTTGGGGAAGGGTTTTCGCCAGAGGCGAAGGGTAAAGATTATTTAACTTAATTGTTATTACTATATTTTATTTGCTTTTTAAAAATTCTCAAATTATATAAGATCAAAGTTGACATAAAATATATTAATAACACATATCTAATGTTATAATTCGGTTATTCGATTCGGTATGTTATGGGACGGTTCGGTTTAGTTCTCAGTACGAATATTTGTTAAATCTCCAGAACTGTACCAATTATTTTTCGGTTCGGTTTGGTTCGGAAAAAGTCAAATGGTCAACGTTATTTTTCGGTTCGGAGTGGTTTCGATTCAGTTTTCAGAACGGTTTGAAATTCTTCGAGTCCCATGCTCAACCCTAGTGTGAGCTATTCCATATCAAAACTAATTGTTAAAGGGAGCATTGTTAATGGAAGGAGCAAACGATAATGGAAGGAGTAGCCTTAAGTAAATAAGGTAGGCCCACTTTTTTATTTTCATAAAATCAATGTGGGACAAATCGACAACTAATAATGGGTAATATGAGGAGTAGTCTTTTGTTTTTTATTTTTTCAAACAACTTGTATAACATAAAAAACCTCAAGAAGTTTACAAAAGGAATGATCAAATGATCACTAAACCAACATCTCCAAACCACAAGCAGGAGATGAGACACCTGGAGCATGCATATTACAAACCCTCAAGAGCCTTCTAGGCTAAAGAATTACCGACACCAACTGAATCCAAGCAACAAGTAAAGAAACAAATTGTAAAAGAAGATACTAAAGCATAAATATCCATTAAGAGAGCAAACACAGAAGTAGGGGTGTGTAAAAATTTGACTGAAATCGACCGAAACCGACCAAATCGAAAATTTCGGTTTGGTTTTTCTCCGACTCGGTCGGCGGTCGGTTTTCAATTTGTAACTTTTCGGTTATTTCGGTCGGTGTCAGTTTTCGGACATATAATATCATATTATATATTAAAATATAATATTTTAATACAAATAAGTGAATAACCCTACCTAACTCAGTACACTCCTTCGCATTTCAGTCTTTCAGAAACGGGCGCGTATCCCTTCCCCAAATCCCCCATCCCCAAATCCTCTGCCCCTACACCCCTAGCCGCTGCTCCTCCGCCGGTGCTCCTCCACAGTCTACCGTAAATCGCTCCAATCCGAACCATCTCGGCATCCCTCGAATCATCCGCTCAACAAAAAATCATTCCCTCATCTTTGTGTCTGTGTGTAGTTCGGTCTTCGATCCGGTCAAGGAGCTCGTGATCACCGACTCACCAGTCGTCGACTCTCTAGGCACACGACTATAAGTATTTTTTTGTTTTATTTTCTAAAGTCTCAAATGTCAAATTGACAAATTGTAATAAGAAAATACAAGGATTGATATGTTCTTCAGAGTTGTATGATTGCGAGTTGTGACTAGTGAGAATTGAGAATTTTGTATGTGTTACTTTTTGATTCTATTAATCAACTCAATAAAAGCCGGATGTGTTACTTGTAAGCCTGTATGTTCTCCTTGTGAGAATTGAGAATTTTTCGATTCTTCAGTGTTGTATCTTTTTGATTTTGTGAATTGTGACTTAGGAGAATTGAGATTTTTTTATGTGTTACTGTTTGTAAAACTGTTTTTTTGTAAAAATTCGGTTAACCGACCGAACAATTCGGTGCGGTTAAACTTCGGTTTTAGGCACTTAATTCGGTCAGTTCGGTTTCAGAAATTTAAGAATTCGGTTAATTCGGTTTTTGTAGTTCGGTTCGGTCGACCAGATGAACACCCCTACACAGAAGCATCAAAGAGAAACCTTCTATTCAGATTTTGAGCCAGGCCTTCATCTTTCACACAACAACTAATCTCAGTTTCTCCCAGCTGAATGGTCGACTCAAGATCCATCTAACAGCTGTAGGTGAGCTTATCCATGTGTTCCTGAAAAAAACTCAGCTCTCCAGCAGTTGTGCACCATAATCCCTTCCTTTAAAGTTGTACCTCCAAAAGCAATCCAGCCAGAAGTAGAAGGTAGAGCACTGCCAGACCCAAGTATCTGACCTAAAGACAAAACCTCTGCGCTAGACATCAAGGAATTCCCAAAAGCAACCACATCCTTTTCCTCAACAGCCAACATTGAGTTGATACCCATCCACTCCTCTATGGCTTTTCTCACAATCTCCCTTTCACAGTTCCACACCTTTTCAAAGGTCCACAAATTTATAGTCTTCCACAAAAGATGTGGAATTGATCTTATCAGACCTCTTCCCACTGGAAAGAGTGGGGTCAAGTATGCGGTAGTCGTAGTTGACTATTTTACTAAATGGCCAGAAGCCAAGCAATTGGCCAGTGTCACAGAATAAAAGATGATTGGCTTTATTTGGAAGTTTATTGTGTATCGGTTCGGAATCCCGTACTCGGTCATCACCGATAATGGGAACGAATTTGAAGGCAAAAAGCTCGAGTCATTTTGCGAAGTCCTCGACATTAAACATTATTTTTCTTCACCTTATCACCCCCAATCAAATGGGCAGGTCAAAACTGTTAACAATATTATCAAACGAAGTCTGAAAACAAAATTAGATTCGACCAAAGGAGCATGGCCTGAAGAACTACCAGAAGTATTATGGTCGTACCGAACCATTGCTCGGTCATCAACCAGGGAGGCCCCTTTCTCCCTAGCATATAGCTAGAAAGCTATGGTCCCTGTTGAACTTGGTTCACCTTCGTACCGAGTTCAACATTTTGAAGAAGATTCAAATTGAGACTCTCTTCGAACGAATCTCGACCTGATCGAAGAGTTGCATATGAAAGTCGAACTAAAAAATGTTGCTTACAAACAAAGGAGCGAGAAATATATCAACTCTCAATTAAAACCTATGACTTATCAAGTGGGTGACCTCGTTCTGAAAAGAGTCTCAAGGGCTGACCTTGGACCTTTAAAACCAAAATGGGAAGAACCTTTTAAAATTTGTGAAGTGCTACCTCATGGGGCCTATTGGCTGGAACTGTTGGATGGTAACCAACTTCCTTATCCTTGGAGCGGTGTATTTCTAAAAAACATTTACCAATGAAAAATCGTTTCATCAAAAATCTTTGTTTTGATTACTTAATAATCAATATGTGAAAACTTTTGCAAACCAATCTGGTAGACCTATGTTGCTTTGCATAATAGTTTTTATAAAAAGATCTTATAAGATTGTACTATTTGTTATCATCTTTTGAATGAAGTTACTTTTGTCCTTCCAAAATTCCTACACTTTTCTTAAAAAGCCGAATACCTGATTAAATTACGTAGTGCCTCTTGGCATGAAGAACAAGGCCGGGGAACCAGCATGCACAGCGTGAGAGAGCTAGGCACACACGGGCTCCCTCACGCACCAGCGCACCTTAGCCGCACCACCCACAGCGACTCGGCCATGGTTCAACAGCCCCTGCGACGTGGTGCACCAGCAACGGTTCGGCAAGGCCCTAGTTGATCCGAGACACGACTTGGAATTCAAGAAGCATGACAAGGCAATTACAATGGGACGAACACCGATGAGACTCAAAAGATCTTCATCAATGGAAATTATAAAAAAGTCTCAGAGTCGGCAAAAATTTTAAATGGTACGCGTTGAACCCTAGCTTCTAGTTTGGATGCACTTAGGGTTTAATTCATAGTTAGTCAATGACTTGCATAAATTCGACATTTCTAACCGACCCTAACACCTATCCACCGATAGGTTGCGTTGAGCTCCTCAGGCTGAGTTGCTTAAAATCTCGACCTCCTCCCTCCTTATCGGTACAGTAAAGTTCGCTGCACTCGACACATGTGGTTGAGCGAAGCTGGCAGGGCCAACTTCTGTGATCATCTAATTGATCTCATCTCTAGTGAGTGTCACAACCTTCTCTTCTACTGGAACACCTCTCCTGCCACCGTGACCTCCTCTCATCGTCCTGAGGTTGATTTCGTTGTGTCGGATCTGCTGGTACCATCTATGTACCTGATCTATTCTCCGATTAGATAATCAAACCACTGTTTATTGCTACTCACACCAAAGAACCTACAGACCTAATAGGTTGAGAAATGGGGGTGATCGGCATTCAAACGGACCTCGAAAAGCACAATGGTGGGCCTGTTTCGATCGAATGGTTAGAAACCAAGCCTTCGTCAAAGTTGGGCTCTAGGTTCTTTCTGGAGGTCATCGCTCTTCATGCCTGGCCTTAGATGGCTTTCTAAATGAATCCCACAAACGACGCCAAATGGTAGGACAAAACGATCTCAACCCGGTCTGATGTCCTTGATCCATCCTTGAACCAGTGAAATGACCTGCAAAACAACTTCGGGTTTGTCTAGGTGTACAAGCTCCGGTGCTCAAGTCAATAAACAAGGATGAAGGTGTATATGAGTCTAGATTATTTAGAGTGTGTACAGAGATGAATGCTCATGTCTCACCCCTTTATATAGAGGTACTACCTTGTTTTCCAAGATCTGCTCGATCTTGCTGCCCGAGTTCCCGAACTACCTGATTACACTGCCCGAGTGTCCAGATTGTCCAATTATGTTACACATGTTTCCTTACCCACGTGTCATTCTTATCTTAGTTACATTGTACTTATGTGTTTATCTAGTGTGTTCACACTAGTCTACCTTATTAAGTAGTCATTCTAAGCTTACTCGAGCTTTGCAGCTCTTCTAGTCTTTACCGACTGTTTGTCCCATTTTTGTTGCTATTTTGTTAGTATTTTGTGTGTTTTCCCCTGTCGTTTTAGGTCGTTTCTTAGGTGTTACCGGTCCGTGTAGTCATTTCTCGTGTTTTAGTGTTATTTAGTTGTGTTTCGTGTTTTATTTGTTTTTTCTCTTATTTTCTCTTGCTTTTCGTGTTTGTCTGATTCTGGTGGTTTCAGGTTGTTCCGATTCCCAGGTGTTTCATCCCAGTTCATGCGACCAAACATGCAAAAGTCGAGTTTTCAGCTCGGGCAGTACCCGAGCCACGCTAGTCGAGCACGCGAGCTGAAGAAAAAGCAACCTTTTGGACTATCAGGACCTTAGCGCCGCTAAGGGCAGTCAGGCTAGCGGCGCTATAGTTCTTACCGAGGGCTGGTCCGAACAATTAACATGCCTTAGCGGCGCTAAGGTACGTTTTGTAACAGTTTCGTTTTTCTCGAAATTTCGAATTGGAGGGCTTAAGGGTCGAGGCTAGGGCAGGTTTTATTCACTTTTGAACATTGTATTTCCTACCTTTCATTTTCAGAACACACTTTTCTCTCCATTTTCATTTGGATTCGATCTTGGATAGTGAAAACTTCAAGATTCAACTTGTGGATTTGGATTACTCGTTGTTTTTCGACTTTGGATTCGTATTCAATCGTAAGCTTTCTTTTCCATTTTATCTATGATGATGATGGCTTTGATTGATGTGTATTTTATTGTTGAATCTATGATGAGTAGCTAAATCCGTATGCTAGGGATAAGGGATAAATGTTCTGGATTCGTTTGTGATTGTTGGGATTTGTCGATCGTTCAATTTGTATGAGTTGTTCTTAAAAAAGGGTTTTTCAATTATTACGTTTGAATATTGAGAATTGTTGAAGGGTGACACTTCAATTTCCAATTGTTTCAATTGGATTTGATTTATTCATGCATAATGTTGGTGATTCTTACTGATTAGTCGGTTAACAACCCTCTAAACTATCTTAATCGACTCTTAGAACCGAAAGGGGAGGAGTCGGTCGAAATAGGCTCGTATAAACTAGGCTTGTTCGTAACTGTATTGCCTAGGTGTTAAATGGATCGTTAATTTGCCATTCACGGTTGTCCTCTTGTTACAAAAAGTTATTGAGGACGAATCTCTGAACGAGTAGGTTACTCGAATCATTTAACCGAACGATCACGTGCCCGACAATTGCAACTCGAACCAAAACAGATCCCCGACTCCCTAGCCTCTTTACTCTTGCTTGTCCATCGTCTTTGCTTTCAAATTTCTATTGCTTTATTTGAATTCTCTCATGGCATGATTGGTAGGAAGGAATGACATGAGAATGGAATGATCATTCCCTTACACATTCCTTATCCCATGATTGGTATATTTTTTGGGAAGAAATGACCATTCCAATGGGAATGGCAAAACCCATCTCCATGGGATTAGCTATTCCATAGTAAATGGAAGGTTTTCTCATTTCCATGTGTGTAGGAATCAATTTTTCAAAAAATAAAATTATCAAATAATAATTTTTTTTTTTTTCAAAACGGTAGGAATAACTATATAACTCAAACGAGAACAATGTTCTAATACAATGAGGGGATCCCCAATCAAATCCTGAAACTAAAAATGGGAAGCACATCAACAAGATGGCTTAGAAATACGAACTAACCAACTCACCGAAACTAAAACTAGTTAAAAAGCCTAGCCACTGCCATAAGGCCTAGCATAGCATTTTTAACCAAGGAAAAAAACCAGCAAATCAACTAGGCACAGGACAAAGATCACTAATACAAAAAGCAAAAGCAAACTAGAGAAATACAGAAGCAAACTAAACTAGTGAATAAAAATAAACTCCAGCCACTCTGAATGAGCCAACCTCAGCACCAAGTGAACTGGAACCTGATGTGCCTGAAATATCCATAAGTTACGCGTTTTCCATAACCACCATAGCAAGTAGGTGGTTAATTGGATTCTGTGGCTTGAAGTTTCAGACTTCTCAATGGCACAGACCTGCTGCCACCAGTATTTGAAATTTTGAACAGGTTGATCCATTCCATCCCATGAAACTGGTGCAAGAGTCCATAATCTGCTGGCTCGAGGGCAGTTAAATAACATGTGTTCAACCGTTTCTCTGTCTGCTCCACAGCTTCTGCATGATGTGTCTAGGTCTAACCCTTTCTTCTGCAGGTTGGCAAGGACTGGCAGTGCACCAAATAAGCATTTCCAGAGAAAGATTTTGAGCTTACCAGGGACTTTTAGAGACCAGCTTCTGTTGAGTGTTTTCCTCATAGGGACTATATTGGTGCTGCACTCAGGAAGATCCAAGGATTGAACTTTTTTAAGAACCAGCTGTTGATATGTTTTAGCAACTGAAAACTTCCCTTTGCTATCCAAACCCCAGTACCATCTGTCATGTGCATTGGGATTCAAAGATTTGATTGCTAAAATGGCTTTGCTGTCAGTC